TGGTGGTCATTGAGCTGGTGGTCATGGGGTTGGTGGTCATTGGGGTGGTGGCCTTGGGGACATCAAGATGGTGGTCATGGGGTTGTCAGTCATTGGGTTGGTGGCCATTGAGGTGGTGGCCTTGGGGACATTGGGGTGGTGGTCATTGAGCTGGTGGTCATGGGGTTGGTGGTCATTGGGGTGGTGGCCTTGGAGACATCAAGATGGTGGTCATTGAGGTTGGTGGCCTTGGGGACACTGAGTTGGTGGTCATGGGGTTGGTGGCCATTGGGCGGTGGCCGTTGGGTGGTGGCCATTGAGGTGGTGGTCATTGACCTGGTGGTCATTGGGTTGGTGGCCATCAAGGTGGTGGCCTTGGGGACATTGGGATCGTGATCATTGGGTGGTGACCATCAAGATGGTGGCCTTGGGGACATTGGGTTGGTGGTCATTGGGTTTGTGGACGTTGGCTTGGTGGTCATCAAGCTGGTGGTCATCAAGATGATGGTCATCAAGGTGGTGGCCTTGGGGGACATTGGGTTGGTGGTCATTGTGTGGTGGTCATTGGGTGGTGGTCATTGGGTGGTGGTCATCAACCTGGTGGTCATTGGCTTGGTGGCCACCAGCTTGGTGGCCATGGTGACATCAGATTGATGACCACCAACATGGCCACCGTTGACCTTGAGTGACCACTGGGTTCGATGACCACAGGTGTGCTCTGCTGACCATGGGGGAGCTCTGGTGGCCACAGGGGTCACTTTGGTGGCCACGGCCATCGTGTCGACCACCAGCGTTGACCTTGGCTTTGATGACCACTGGCTTGAGTGACCACCGGGTTTAATGACCGCGGGCGGGCTCTGGTGGCCCTGGGGCCACGCTGGTGGCCCCGGCGGTGGCCCTGGTGGCCCGGGAGGAGGTCCCAGCCGTGTCCCCCGCTGTCCCCAGATGATCTTCAAGCTGACGCCGCTGACGCTGACCCACTGGCTGATGGTCATCAAGATCTCCTTCCCGGTCATCCTGCTGGACGAGGCCCTCAAGTTCATCGCCAGGAACTACCTGGAGGGTGAGGAGGTGGCCCCACCCCACCGGGGTGTCCCCCTGTCCCCCCCCGACCCCCTCGGGGTCGTCCCCACCCTCTGTGGTCACCTCCATCATGTCCAGGTGACCTTGGCCATCTCCACCGTCCCCTGGCCATCTCCATGGTCACTTCCATGGTTTGTGGTCACCTCCATGGTCACCTCCATGGTCACTTCCATGATTTGTGGTCACCTCCATGGTCCCTGGTCACCTCCTGGTGCCCTTGACCATCTCCAGGTGACCGTGACCATCTCCTGGTCACTCCATGGTCACTCCATGGTCACTCTGTGGTCACTCATTGTCCCCTCCATTGTCCCCTCCCTGTCCTCATGGTCACTCCATGGTCACTCCCTGTCCCCTCCATTGTCTCCTCCCTGTCCCCTTGGCCATCTCCGTGTCCCCTTGGTCACTCCATGGTCACTCCCTGGTCACTCCCTGGTCACTCCCTGGTCACTCCCTGTCCATTTGGTCACTCCGTGGTCACTCTGGTCACTTCCTGGTCACTCCATGGTCACTCCCTGTCCCCTCGGTGTCCCCTCCCTGTCCCCTTGGTCACACTGTGGTCACTCCCTGGTCACTCCACTGTCCCCTCCATTGTCCCCTCCCTGTCCCCATGGTCACTCCCTGGTCACTCCATGGTCACTCCCTGTCCATCTGGTCACTCTGGTCACTCCATGGTCACTCCATGGTCACTCCCTGGTCACTCCATGGTCACTCCCTGTCCATTTGGTCACTCTGGTCACTCCCTGTCCCCTCGGTGTCCCCTCGCTGTCCCCTCCCCCTCTCACCTCCATCTTCTCGTCCCCAGCGTGACCCGGCCGGGCCCGGCGCCGCCCCAGGTACAGGGACACGCCGTGTCACCTCTGTCACCTGTGTCACCTGTGTCACCTCATTGTCATTGTCACCTCTGTCACCTGTGTCACCTGTCATTGTCACCTGTGTCACCTGTGTCACCTCATTGTCATTGTCACCTGTGTCACCTGTGTCACCTGTGTCACCTGGGTCATTGTCATTGTCACCTCATTGTCACCTCTGCCATTGTCACCTTGGTGTCACCTCAGTGTCACCACTGTCATTGTCACCTCTGTCACCATTGTCGGTGTCACCTCTGTCACTGTCACCCGCCGTTGTCACCCCCACGCCATTGCCACGCCTCATTGTCCCCCAGTGACGTCATCGTCACCCCCATGACGTCACTGTCCCATCCCTGTGATGTCATCGTCCCCTCCCCGTGACGTCATCATCACCCCTACGACGTCACTGTCCCCGCTATGACGTCATTGTCACCCCTATGACGTCATTGTCCCCTCGCCGGCATCCTGGGTCATTGTCATTGTCACCTCATTGTCACCTCTGCCATTGTCACCTCTGTCACCTCAGTGTCACCACTGTCATTGTCACCTGTGTCACCATTGTCACCTCATTGTCAGTGTCACCTCTGTCACTGTCACCCACCGTTGTCACCCCCACGCCATGGCCACGCCTCATTGTCCCCCAGTGACGTCATCGTCACCCCTATGACGTCATTTCCCCCTATCTGTGACGTCATCGTCCCCTCCCCGTGACGTCATCATCACCCCTACTACGTCACTGTCCCCGCTGTGACGTCATTGTCACCCCCTATGACGTCATTGTCCCCTCCCCGGCACTGTGACCTCATTGTCACCTGCCTGTCACCTCTCTATGACGTCATCCGGCGGGGGCGGGGGCGGGGGCGGGGCTCAGAGGCGGCGGATCTTCATCTCGCTGCGCTTGAGCGAGTAGTAGAAGCCCTTCCACTGGGCCCAGTTGATGCCGTTGGCGTAGGAGAGGTGCGGCCCGGCCAGGTAGAAGCCGTTGAGGTTGGAGAAGTGGCAGCTGCGGAACCACCAGGCGCCCGAGGAGAGCGCGGCGCAGTTCTGCGCGAACAGGTCCTGGTCGCGGTCGAAGGTGGAGAACTTCTGCCCGTTGTGGTAGCTCAGCGAGTCGCCTGCGGTGGGTTGGGTTGGGTTGGGTTGGGTTGGGTTGGGGGGCTGGTGGTCAAGCCGTGCCGTGGTTGGCCGACGTTGACCTCCCCAGGGTTGACCTTGACTTGGTTGGCCACCGTTGACCACCGCTGACCCACCATTGACCCCATTGACCCCATTGACCTCCCAATGGTTGACCTTGGCTTGGTTGACTACCGTTGGCCACCATGGCCAACCGTTGACCACCGTTGACCCCATTGACCTCATTGACACCATTGACTGCCATTGACCCCATTGACCTCCCCATGGTTGACCTTGGCTTGGTTGGTCACCGTTGGCCACCGTTGACCCCATTGACCTCCCAATGGTTGACCTTGTCTTGGTTGGCCACCATTGACCCCATTGACCTCCCAATGGTTGACTTTCACTTGGTTGGCCACCGTTGACCACTACTGACCACCATTGACCCCATTGACCCCATTGACCTCCCAATGGTTGACTTTGACTTCGTTGACCTTGACTTGGTTGGCCACCGTTGACCACCGTTGACCCCATTGACCTCCCCATGGTTGACCTTGACTTGGTTGGTCACCGTTGACCCCATTGACTTTCCCATGGTTGACTTTGACTTCGTTGACCTTGACTTGGTTGGCCACCGTTGACCACCATTGACCTCCCCATGGTTGATCTTGACTTGGTTGGCCACCATTGGCCACCATTGACCACCACTGACCCCATTGACCCCACTGACCTCCCAATGGTTGACTTTGACTTTGTTGACCTTGACTTGGTTGGCCACCGTTGACCACCGTTGACCCCATTGACCCCATTGACCTCCCAATGGTTGACCTTGACTTGGTCGACCACCGTTGACCACCGTTGACCCACCATTGACCCCATTGACCTCCCCATGGTTGACCTTGGCTTGGTTGGCCACCGTTGACCCCATTGACTCTCCCATGGTTGACTTTGACTTCATTGACCTTGACTTGGTTGGCCACCATTGGCCACCGTTGACCCACCACTGACCCCACTGACCTCACCATGGTTGATCTTGACTTGGTTGGCCACCGTTGACCCACCATTGACCCCATTGACACCATTGACCCCACTGACCTCCCAATGGTTGACTTTGACTTTGTTGACCTTGACTTGGTTGGCCACCGTTGACCACCGTTGACCCCATTGACCCCATTGACCCCATTGACCACCATTGACCACCATTGGCCTCCCAATGGTTGACCTTGACTCGGTTGACCCCAGTGACCTCCCCATGGTCAACCTTGACTCGGTTGACCACGGTTGACATCCATTGACCCCCATTGACCTCCATTGACCTCCCAATGGTTGACTTTGACTTGGTTGGCCACCATTGGCCACCACTGACCACCACTGACCCCACTGACCTCCCCATGGTTGACCTTGGCTTGGTTGGCCACCATTGGCCACCATTGACCACCACTGACCCCATTGACCCCATTGACCCCATTGACCTCCCCATGGTTGACCTTGACTTGGTTGACTGCCCTTGACCTCCATTGACTCCCATTGACCTCCATTGACCTCCCCATGGTCAACCTTGACTGGGTTGACCACGGTTGACATCCATTGACCCCCATTGACCTCCATTGACCACCCAACAGTCAACCTTGACTCAGTTGACCTCCATTGACCTCCATTGACCTTCTCCATTGACCTCCCAATGGTCAACCTTGACTGGGTTGACCACCGTTGACCTCCATTGACCCCCATTGACCTCCATTGACCACCCAACAGTCAACCTTGACTCAGTTGACCTCCATTGACCTCCCAATGGTCAACCGTGACTCGGTTGACCTCCATTGACTTCCATTGACCTCCCAATGATAAACCTTGACTCGGTTGACCTGACCCCCATTGACCTCCGGTCAACCTTGACTCGGTTGAGCACTGTTGACCTCAATTGACCTCTGTTGACCTCCATTGACCTCCATTGACCCCCATTGACCTCCATTGACCACCCAACAGTCACCCTTGACTCAGTTGACCTCCATTGACCTCCCAATGGTCAACCTTGACTCGGTTGAGCACTGTTGACCTCAATTGACCTCTGTTGACCTCCATTGACCTCCATTGACCCCCATTGACCCCCCAATGGTCAACCTTGACTCGGTTGAGCACCGTTGACCTCCATTGACCTCCATTGACCTCCATTGACCTCTGTTGACCTCCATTGACCCCCATTGACCCCCGTTGACCCCCCAATGGTCACCCTTGCCCGGCTGCCCCCGGGTGCCCTCACCGGCGCCGCCGTCGACGAAGCCGGCGACGTGCAGGGCGTAGCCGTCCTCCTCGGGGCTGACGGCCGTGGGCGAGAGCGCGAAGGAGCCGTACGTGGCCGACGCCGAGTTGTTCTCGAAGTCCTCGAGCTCCACGCGCAGCTCGTAGCGCGCCTGCTGCGTCAGCAGGGCCAGCGTCTGCAGGCCTGGGGGCAAAGGGCACTGTGGTCACTCAATGGTCACTCAGTGGTCACTCAATGGTCACTCAGGGGTCACTCAGGGTCACTCAGGGTCACTCAGTGGTCACTCATTGGTCACTCAGTGGTCACTCAGGGTCACTCAGGGTCACTCAGGGTCACTCAGGGTCCCTCAGGGGCACTCAGGGGTTACTCAGGGTCACTCATTGGTCACTCAGGGTTCACTCAGGGTCACTCAGGGTCACTCAGGGTCACTCAGGGGCACTCAGTGGTCACTCAGTGGTCACTCAGGGGTCACTCAGGGTCACTCAGGGTCACTCAGGGGTCACTCAGGGGTCACTCAGGGGTCACTCAGTGGTCACTCAGGGTCACTCCGGGGTCACTCAGTGGTCACTCAGGGTCACTCAGGGGTCACTCAGTGGTCACTCAGGGTCACTCAGTGGTCACTCAGTGGTCACTCAGGGTCACTCAGTGGTCACTCAGGGGTCACTCAGGGGTCACTCAGGGTCAGTCAGGGGTCACCTACTGGTCCATACTGGTTTATACTGGTTTCTATGCACTTGTATGGATTTCTATTGAGTTTTCTGGCCCATACTGGCTCATACTGGTTTATACTGGTGGGAGGGGGAGGGACCCCCGGCCGTGCCCTTTTTTGGGAGAAAAATCCCAAAATCCGCCCTTTTATCCTGCAAAAAAAAAAAAAAAAAGTAATTTCCCCTTTTTTTATTTTTTTATCATTTATTTTGGTTTTTTTCTTCAAAAAAAATCGGATTTTGCAGCTGGAACATCCCGGATTTGGGGATTTTTGTGGCACAAACTCCGAATTTTGCCTTTTTTGGAGGGAAACGACCCCAAATTTGCTCTTTTGGGGGTTGAATTCCCTCAGACTTGGCTCCAAAAGGGCGAAAAACCCCAAATTTGCTCCTAAAAGGGGAGAAAATGCCAAAGTTTTGTCCCTGACTGGGGATTGTGCCCCCGATTTTCCTTTCCCCCCTCATTTTCCCTCTTTTTTCCTCGTTTTCACTCTTTTTTATCCCTGATTTTCATTTTTCCCCCTCATTTTCCCTCTTTTTTCCTCATTTTCCCTTTTTTTTTCTCATTTTCCCTCTTTTTTCCTCGTTTTCACTCTTTTTTATCCCAAATTTTCCTTTCCCCCCCTCATTTTCCCTCTTTTTTCCTCATTTTCACTCTTTTTTATCCCTGATTTTCCTTTTTTCCCCTCATTTTCCTTCTTTTTTCCTCATTTTCCCTTTTTTTCCTCATTTTCCCTCTTTTTTTCCTAATTTTCACTCCTTTTTATCCCAGATTTTCCTTTTTTCCCCTCATTTTCCCTCTTTTTTCCTCGTTTTCACTCTTTTTTATCCCAAATTTTCCTTTTTTCCCCTCATTTCCCTCTTTTTTCCTCACTTTCCCTCTTTTTTCCTCATTTTCACTTTTTTATCCCTGATTTTCCTTTTTTTTCCTCTTTTTCCCCCAATATTTCTCCTTTTTCCCCCAGATTTTCCCTCTTTTTTCCCGATTCTCCCTCTTTCCCCCGATTTTTGCCTCTTTTAACCTCAATTTTTCCTCTTTCCCCCTCATTTTTCCTCTCCCCCCTCCCTTTCCCAGATTTTCCCCATTTTCCCCCCAAATTTCCCCGATTTTTGCCTTTTTTGAAGGAAAAACACCCCCGACCCCGCCCCTCCGAGACGCCCCCATCATTTCTGAGGTTTTTTTAGGGAATAAACCCTAAAATTCATTTTTTTAAAGGGAAAAAAAGCCCTAAACCGCCGAGAAAAGAGGAAATATCCGGAATTTGGGGGTTTCCACAGGGAATTTTTTGCCTTTTTTTGCCGGATTTTGGCATTTTATTAAAAACCGATCCTTGACTCTGCGTGTTTAATGAAAAAAAGTCCTGAATTCTGCCGGTTATGGGGGAAAATCCCCAAATCGTATCACGTTATAATCCTAAATTTTGGATTTTTATGGGAAAAATCCCTTTTGCCTCCCGCCCATCTGCGGGGTAACCCCCCCCCAATTTCGCCTCTTTACCAAGAAAAGTGGCGTAGCCCCGCCCCACACAGGGAACCCACCCAACCCCCGCCCCTTTGGTGGGGAGACGCCCCGAATTCCACGTTTTTATCAGCAAAAAAAAACCCCGAAATTCGCATTTTTTGGGTTAAAACCCTCGGGGGACGCCATCGCCCCCTAGCGGCTGGGAGGACCTCGCTCAGGGCGGCGGGCTGCAGTTGTCACAAGATGGCGGCCGCGCGCTGTGCACGCTGGGAGTTGTAGTCCATGCATCATTATGGGTTTATGTATGATGTCGCTAAATGACTACAACTCCCAGCGCGCACCGCGCCGCGGCGGAGTCAGAAGATGGCGGCGCCCCGCGCTGCACGCCGGGAGTCGTAGTCCCCGCCCGCAGCACCCAACGGAAGGGGCGGAGCTAACGGACTACCAGCCCCGTCGCCCTTTGCGCCGGCGCATGCGCTCGGCGCGGCAGTGGAGGCGGGGGCGCGCGTGGCGTTGCCTCAGCGTTCGGCTCCGCTCGGCGGCGAGGCCGCGCAGTTTCGCCGGGCTCCTGTCGCGATAGAGCGGAGCTGTCGGCGATAGAGGAACCGGTGAGGGCCGGGGAGAGCGCGGGGGGGAGGCCCCGGGGCGATCGGGGGGCTTTTGGGGGATTTTGGGGGTTCCTGAGGGAATCTGGGGAAATTTGGGGGGATTTTGGGGCGGTTTTGGGGGAATTTTGGGGAAATTTGAGGGGGATTTTGAGTCCATTTGCGGGATTTTGGGGGCTCTTGTTTGGGGGGGTTTTGGGTTCATTTGGGGGAATTTTGGGGAAATGTGGGGGTTCCTGAAGAGAATTTTGGGTGAATTTGGGGGGATTTTGGGTCCATTTGGGTGGGATTTAAGGGATATTTTTGGATTTTGAGGAAATTTTGGGTCTATTTGGGGAATTTTGGGGGGATTTTTTTGAAATTTGGGGGTTCCTGAAGGGAATTTTGGGGGAATTTTTGGGATTTGGGGGGAATTTTGAGGATTTTGGGGGGATTTGAGGAATTTTGGAGGGATTGGAGCAGTTTGGGGGGTCCCTGAGGTGGATTTTGGGGTGGATTTGGGAGATTTTGGGGTTCCCGGGTTGAATTTGGGGGATTTGGAGGCAATTTTGGCATCCCTGGGGTGAATTTTGGGGGAAATTCCGGTGGATTTTGGGGTGGATTTGGGAGATTTTGGGGTTCCCGGGTTGAATTTGGGGGATTTGGAGGCAATTTTGGCATCCCTGGGGTGAATTTTGGGGGAAATTCCGGTGGATTTTGGGGTTCCTTGGGAGGATTTTGGAGGAATTTGGGGATTCTTGAGTTCCTGGGTGGAATTTTGGGCGGATTTGGGGAATTCGAGGGAATTTTGGAAGCTTTTTGGGGAGAATTTTGATTTTTTTTGGGGTGAATTTGGGGGATTTGAGGCGATTTTGGGAGGTTTTGGGGTGGATTTGGCCGGAATTTGAGGCTCCCGGGGTGGATTTTTTTGCTTCCCGGGTTGAATTTGGGGGATTTGGGGGGGTTTTTGGGGTGAATTCGGGGGATTTTGGGCAATTTTGGGGGTCCCGTTACCTCCATGGCTCCGGAGCGGCTCCGAATC